CATCGAGGAGAGAGAGAGAGAGAGAGAGAGGGTTCCTGACTTCCGACGACCTTAACGTGTGGGCTGAGCAGTCAGCACAGCTGTGCTTAAAGAATTGATGCAGCATCTTAATGCAAAAGTTTGAAGCTACGAAGTTAGCATGGTCAGCTTTCACAGCTAAGTCGACTAGCAGTGTCTAAAAACGGTTTAGTTGTGTCATTAAGTAGTAAAAACATCAGAATTACCCCCAAAACAACGTCCCAACCACCTTTGGGTGAATGGCTAAGTTAATATTTCAGCCTCCCTGTGAATCAGATCTAGTTGTGCCTGAAATTTACGAGAGGACCGGTCAAACCATCCACTGCGAAGGGCTATTGCCCATCGTTTGTCGTCAGCACAAGACTAACAGTTGCCAAACAGGTAGATGCCTAAAAAGAACATTCTTAATCTACTATTAAAATATTACTAAAAGATAAATTGATTGATGCCTGAGTAAGTGCAGCGTAATAACTGCTTCTAACCAACGGCAAATATCGGAATTCGTCATTCGGAGACAAAAGATCTTCAAAATCCTGGAATATAAACGGTTATTATCAGTATTACGCGGCAACAACGTGCAGCAGACACCAACCGGCGCTAAAAACAGCTCTGGTGCGGTCAAATGTTGATATGATGCGAAAGCGCACAAACACGGCATAGTGTAAGATTAATAATTCCCAAGAAGAAAAAAGAAAATGTACAAACCTGGCGGAGAACAGCTTCAGATGATTTCCACTGCTCAAGGAGGTTCACAGTGATACCGTGTTGAGCGGCAGCTGTGGCGATTGGAATACCGCTTGAGAGAAGATCCAACGCGGCAATTTTTTTGCTAAGAGAGTGAGGTGCACTGGGTGCACTGGCACGGGTTGGTTTACGACCAAAATCCTCTGCAGCAATCATGGCAGACGGCGAATTCTGTCGAGAAGCAACCCCTCTGGAAGCATTCTCAGATAAAAGGCGGTTGGTGGGCGAGGAAGACTGGAGTCTTGCCTGTAAAAAGAAGAGGCTCAGTCAACGGAGGAAAACTGTTGTCCTGCCCTGGTTCGGGTGTATGTTAGCTCTAATTGTGCGGTTTGGTGTCGCGTTGGTGTGTAAATGAAAATTAAGTCTGCACTAAGTATTTTCGACCGAAATATGATAAATGTAAAACCCACATTTTCAAGAGTTAAAGGGTTCTGTAATTATAGATGGTGAACTAACGAGAATGATCGACAGTGCGCAACCTAAACAGATGTGGGCGGCAAGTGTGATAAATTTCTAAAAGTTCAGTATAAGTGGGCGTCGTCTCATACATGTGGAAGTGTTTACTTCTAGGAAAAAGGGCATGTGACAAACATACTTAAGGGTTTTTCATGCTATCATTCGTACTGAAGATTGTCCACTTTTTTTCAATTTAAACTGACTAGCAGTCAAACAGTGGATAGGCTACCTCAGGACATGGGCTCGAACAAATGGAGAGGCGTTTGCTAACAAGTGAGACAGCGTGATGGGTAGTCGCTGGTTTGAGAGCAGGATATTATTTAGAACGGAGAAAATAAATCCAATATGCATTCTTTTAAACCTACGAGAGAAGTAGCGGTACTTGAGGACGAATACAGAAAATAATTACAATTGTCCAAAACATAGCCTGGAGCAATCTCTCATGGAATTTACGGATCTTGTAACTCAGTACTAACTGCAAAAGTGATCTTACAAACAAATAATGCTATATCAGACTACAGCCAGCCTTTCAAGGGTAAAGCCCATTCAAAATGTCACGGATTATCATTCTATGCTGAAAGATTGTATATTTCCGATGGAAGAAAAATGACGTGCTTGAAAATTATTTTCAAGATGGGTTCTGCAATAGAGAAACGCGATATTAATCACTAGTTAGCTATATGTTTTAATGCGAAAAAGTCAAATTCAATGGAATATAAAATACTCTGAACACTCATCCTACAACCGAAGTACTTTACGTCTCGTCCACTTAAGGCAGCGAATAAACAACTTAGTCTTACACAGCGAATAGACACTAGCGAACACAACGCCGTAAATGAAAGGCTACCTTAAACGGAGGGGTGGTGAACATGTTGCCGAATCGGATAAACGGCCTTGCTGACATATTATTATATGTTCCCTTAATCGCAAGGCGGCTGACGGTGCAGTTTGTTGATGCATCGGTGTTCCCTAAGATACAGCTGTATCATGAAACTAGTAAATTTCAAAATAATTCGGTCTGAAGAAAAAAATCAGTTTTAGGACCACTATTATTCAATGGCTAAAAAATTACATCCTTTAATGTAGACAGTCAACTTATTATTGAGTAAAGGAAATGATCACAAGCGAGCATTTATAGTTGCATAGCTATCAAATATCAAATCGGCAATAACAAACAGT